GTGTGTGAAAGATGAGAAGGTGGGACACACGGATAGCGCTGACTAAATGAAACTTATACTATCATTTGAACTAAATTGTTATAGAAATACTTCTTTGATCGACGATGCTCTTAGTTATAGATAGACGTGGTTGCACGAGCTTGAGATGACGATGGATTGGTTTGACTTTGGAATTTATTTTTGTATTGTTTAATAATCTAACCAATTTTGGATGTATTTAATCAGTTTATTTATAAGAATAAATAGTAAGTCACTGGTCTATGATAAGTTAGTTTGGTACACAAAAGACGCTGCATTTTGACATGCATGGTATCGGCCGAAGCATACAACATGGTGCCAATGATCACATTTCATTTATCTGTATATTCTTCAACTTATTTAATATAATGCGCTTTGATTTGAATATGACTGAAACAAGTAATAATTATATTTAAGACAACTATATAGAATACTACTATCTGAGACGGCCATTAACAAATGGCATTATATCATCACTTTTACTGGGGTCAATATCATCACTTTCACAGGCAGAAAAGTCAACTTGTGTCCAAATTCGTACATTTCCTCGATCATTAATTTGCCTTTTCTTAGATATCTGTTTAAAATTATAGAGTTGTATATGGGAATAGGATAGCTTCAGTCGCCAAGCTTTTTGTAAAAGGATAGCTTCAATTAATTTGTCTTTTCGCCAAGCTTTTGTAAAATAACTACGTGACTCCCTCCAGATTAAACATGTTTAAATATGTTTTAAAAGTTATATAAATTAAACAGTATTATTTTATGGTTAAAAATAGCTAATGATGTTTAATTTAGATTTAAGTTCAATTTTCTTTATATGAAATAATATTATTTTTATTTTTTCGTTTGTTAATTTGTACTAATTCTAATTTCATTGATAACATTGAAAATAAGTTCATTTACAATTCTCTTTTAATAACCAAGTAAGATTTTGTCTTTTCTAAATAATTTTTCATTTTAATTGATGTTGTAGTATCACATTGCACCAAACTACTATTATTGTGTGTGTAAATTCTTTTATACCTTGAAAATTTGACAAAAACGACATATTATGATCAATTATGTTCAATATCTATTTGGTTAAATGCCTGTGAATTATTCTATTTGTGAATTAAAATATCTAAAATGAAAATATCTCCGATGGATAATATTGTATGGTTTGTATTTGCATTTTAATCAAAATATTCTTTATTCGTATAGGTCTTAGATCAATATTTTGTTTTGTTATATTCAATATTGAATTTAGACATTTAGATTAAACATTCTTATTTTTAATTTTATGTAAATTATTAAAATATTCACACTGATATTTTATTATTTGATTATAACTTTTTTTTAATCT